GGAAAACAAGAATGCAATCCGAAAGCGCTGCCGGCACTCGAGCAAGACACTCGACCCTACACAGTGACGCACGGACAACTAGTGCAATCACACATGTCAAGCCACATGCAGTTGCACTCATGCCTTGCCTACCAGCATACGAGGCACTCCCGGATCCCACTTCGTGCCCAGCAAGTGTTCACCCCGCTGTACATGCCTGTATAGCGAGAAGTTCACTCACCCGAAATGCCCAGTGACAACGTCACATACGCATAGATAGCAGCTAGTAAACATAAGAAGGCCGGGGCATATCAGGCTACGTCGGCTCACAGGCTGCAGCTACTGATCTATTGCGACCACAGTCGGCTGCACAACACACAGAAGATGGGACCACTGTTTCAAAATATTCTCTGATCCATCTAGCTCTCAACTCACTTGGGGTCAACTCAGAAAGTCTCGTAGCCATGTTCTGTGTGGCATCCAGCACCGCGGTGCTCGTGCCCATCGTTGTGCCAAGGCAGTAGGGCATGCATGTACGCCGGGTCGGCAGTCTGGTTGAATTCTCATCCAAGGCATGCTGAGCAACTTGCAGCTGTTGTTGTAAATTCCGATGCCATGCAGAGTTGTAAATTACGATGTCATGCAAAGTCCTTCAGAGTTGCTGTGTGAATTCAACCTTTGAGCAGCTTCTCCTCATGCAGTGAATCACCCGTAGCTTCATGCAGTAACCATGCCGTGCAGCTCCTTCTCAGGGATCATGAATTCATCACCACATTCGTCTACCAAATTCATTGCAGCATGGCTGACGCGCCAAACCCATATCCAGTATTCAGTGTTCTCAGGGACGACAATCCTCGTGGCATCTGTTGTTTTGACAGGCTCCATCGGAAGTCATCCAACACTGCTCCACCTTTTGCCAGATATCCAAGATGGCTACTCACGTCCCACGGCGCATCTGGATCCGTTCATTGCAGTGTCCGCACCAAAGCAGTATAAAGCACCAGAATGAGGACCCAATAAATACTAGATCGCGTCCTCAAGACCACAACCAAATGTCGCAGACCCGGATGTCCGAGGCAGCACAGCCATGGCAGCACTTGGAGGTGGGTTAGTGGTTTCTCAGAAAGGGAAGGGTCAGGTATTTTCTCGCCGTGTAGTGCAGTGTTGACGGCAAAGCATGGCAGAGCGACAGACACACAGTAGTCGTACACATGCCGAGGCGGGGAGGGCGTAGCCCGAAACATGCATCTCACCAACACATCAGCTTCAAATATCTCTCACAGCTTATTTGCTTACAGTCTGCTCATGCCACTGCACGTCCCATCCTCAACTAACCCTGCCACAGATAAGGGAACACAGCAGCCAACGAATCCCTTCGACCCTCGCACACACAGCCCTTTCCCTACTGACGGAGCTTCTTGTTTTTGCTCAGTGTGCGATGTCTGGGTCCTTGCAGTTTGACTGACACCTCGAAAATGACTGCACATGCACATGCAGAAAGCATAGTTAAAGTAATTATTCGTCATGCATCATGCGTACAGCGAACAACATGTTCGTCAAAGACATCATTGGACTTGCATTTTAATTCAGAGCCGAGGCGGGCCCCGTCTAAATTCAACGTGCCATGCAGCATGCATTAAATTCCTCGTCGTGCTTGCCTGCAATCGTCAAATTAAACGTTGTGCCGTGGGTATGAATTCCTACGCGGGTGTCAGTGCACTGTAAACTGCTGGGTTCCTATTCTATACTGTTCTTCAAGACGGGAGCTCATGCAATCATGACAGGCTACGGCAACAAGATATTTAAGAGTGTATTAAAAGGCCCTAAATCGTCATAGGCCATCAGCCGAAAAGGGGCCTGAGCTCCTCGTCACGGACGGCTGTACGGCTACCATCACTAAAGGTGACGGTGGCGAGGCCCGATCCCATTGCAACTGCTGGCCCAGTAATGATGAGCGCTCTACTCATCGGTATGCGGCTCTGCAAGTCGATCACTCTCGGCTGCGGTCTGACACCATCCACAGGAGGAGGAGGATGACGGTACGGGAGCCTTTCATGGTACCTGTCCTTGAGCTCCTGCACTTTCTCCCCGACCTCCGCGATGAGGTCCTTGGTGGATGCCCAGTTTTGCTCCTGCTCCTTGAGCATCTCCGCCTGTGCAAGCAGCTGGTCCACCATCCTCTGGAAGACCCCTGCATCTCCAGGCAGACGTGCAAAAGCCGAGCCCAGCTGGGAAATGCCACCAGCAATGCCCTCGAGCTTGTTGTCTTGGCCTTCACAGACCTTATCCAGCTTTCTGAGCAGTCCATGGGAGGTGGTATGCAGGCTATTTGCTTGCCCCTTGACCATCCCCACTTCTTCAAAAATAGAAGCACTCTTGGCCCTTGTCAGCTGTTCCAGCCTGTCGAAATCACCACGGAGCTTCTCCAAAACTCCTTTGGTTGCATCCAGGATGTGCTGCAGCTGGCTGGCACCAAAGCTTTGCTTGACCTCTTCCAGAGTGGCCTCCGCAGCTGTGGTGGTTTTCTCTTGCTTGGAGCTGATGTCTTTAAGGACATCCCTCAAGGGCTTGAGGAGTCCTTCAAGCTGGTTCCCGAAGTCCTTGATGGCCTGCCAGACTGGCTTCATGTCCGCAGCTGTGCCTCCTGTAGGCCTGTCCGCCAGTTGCTTGTTGAGGCCATCGAGCCCAGACTCCAGTGAGCCAAGCAGCGTCAACACTTCTTTGTTACTTTGAGAGCCTGCCGTCTTGGAGATGGAGTGGGTCGTATCCAGAAGCTGATTGACCGCTTTAGTCATGGCCTCATGGCTCTGGACCAGAACACCACACTCTCTCCTTATTAGCTCCACTGTCTTGTCCTGTGACCCAATCATGTCGCAGGCATGTTGTGTGGTGAGGAGGAGGCTCCTCACATCTTCACACGCCAGCAAGAAGGTGTGATGTTGCCCCGCCACTTCACGTAGAACCTGTTGTATCTCCGGGGGAACCACTGCTGCTGTTGTCCCATCCGGCATCATCGTCGGGCTCAGCGCGAGCTGGCCACAAGCAGTCTCCAGGTTAGCGAGACGAGTTTCGAAGCTCACCTCCAAGCTGGCAAGTCTGCTGTCGAGGCCCTCGCACAGGTGAAGCATCCTGGCCAACGCAAGGCGGGCCTTGTACACCTGTCTTGCCATATTCAACCACACCAGGACCACCAAAGTGGCCCAAACGACGGCTTGCCAACCACCCCATGGCAGCACCACGTCCGCGAACTCAGGCATTTCGAGTCCGTGCATCCACGACACGATCGCCTCAAGGGCTGACCCCGGCACTGCAAGCGAGCTATCCGGTTGTTGAGCCATGACTGGGAGAGTCAGGACACGGGCGAATTGCAGAGAGGTCTCGACACAGAAAGGGCTACGGGGCCTGATTCGCCTACTGCTGTCCCCCTCTGATACATGTCGAAACTAGCACTCATGAATGCACGTTAGCAGGCCAGCGATCTCAGCAATGTGTTGTCACACATGGAAAGCGCATTGCTTAGTGGGCGTCATGTTGCGTAGCAGCTGCATTGGTTCCCAATGTGTTACACACGGGACTGTACAGTATGAATGCGAGCAACTACCCTGATACCACAAAGAGTAAAAAAGGCTGGACTTATGGAGTACAACATGCATGGCGTTGTCATGCAGGAATTCTCACATGCTGATGCACATCGCACAATGCACTGCAACTATGAATTACCAAAAGCTGAACACTGAATTCCGAATTCCCAACAACCGGCTGCTCAGACAAGGTGGATTGTAAATTCGCAACATGCAGGGCTTGCACCATCGCTCCCAAATTCCATCCGTCCAAGAGAGAAAGGGAGGACCCTTACTCACAAACCACAACGTCCTCTTCCTCGTCTGATGAAAGACAGAAAAGTGTCGGGGTGCGGGTGTGTTTAAGGGTGCCTGCTGGCCACCTCGATCCAAGGGACATCTTCGTGCCGATGCCGAAGTCCTCAAGAGGCAGTTGCACCTGCCCTATCCCTGCCCAGCGCGACAGTTGGCTCCTGGCTTCACAAAGATGGCTTGGGGCGACAAAACCAAGACTATCGAGAACGGCTTTGTCTGCGTCTTGTAATTGTTGCCATCCTGCAGGAACCCACCCAAGGAGCAACATCCGATCACAGTCAGTAGGGACCGTGGCATGCCAAAGTTGCCTGGCACTAAGCTTATATGCTCCGCCAGAAACTATATTGCCTCTCCGTTCCTGCCCATCTGCGCAAGACATCCTGATGTTTTTTTCCGGGTGCTCGACCCACGTTCCACCCGGCGCTCCGGGAGCCAAGTTGCATATCAGGGTCGGCAACGTAGTGTTCTTAGTGTCCTTGTGTGGCTGAAGCTCATGATTAAGCTGAACCTGCATGGCCAAGAAGCTGCTGCCAGGGAACTCACTTCGCAGGAAGGCCGTGAGTAACCGTCTCTGGAAATCCTCTTGTCTGGGTGCGGATGCCCGCTTTGTATCGGACAAAAGCGCCACAGGTGAAAGGGTCCTCACTTTCCTGTAGCAGGTGTTTGCATACCTCAAAGATCTGGCGATAGTCCAGAACTCCTCGCTCAGTGAGGTCGAAGGACAGATCTTCTAAGGCCATGGCTTGCTTTGCTCCTAAGTGCTGTACTGCAACGGCTGTCCTCAGGTCTTTAGGGGCGCGGCGAGGGGGAGCAAGTTAGAATGACAAGTTTCAGCATTAACACGGCCGCCCTGCCCCCCCCCCCCTCCCACTCCTACCTTCCGTTCCATCCACCCCCAACATCCCGTCTCTCATTGCAAACTGTGCTGACCCAGGCATCCCCTGCTTCGCTGTCCCTTTAGCC